AAAAAAAAATCAAACAAAACATGTTTAGATTAACTGTCCTTTTGGACAGTTACAGGAAGTCATGATGGGTATAGTAACCAGTCTGTGATACAAGTTAATAAAATGTTAATAAAATGTTAATTTTAATGTTAATAAAATGATGCGTGATAATTAAGCCAGCTGCAGTGCTACTTATCTGACAAAGATTATTTTTTACTGTGTGCTGACATAATGTGATACATTCAGTGTAAAGATTGCACAGTATTACCCTGGGCCACACCTGTGATCATGGGAAACTGTTTCATGAACGATATCAAGCTATTTTCAGACATAAGCACTCTTGCTAAACAAGTCATTTTTAAATTTTATTAATAAAATCCCTTCATGGATCCTGTTGAACACAGTCTATTAGCCCATATGAACATCTTGGCACTACAGAAAAAGGCGAACCAGTGGTTTAAGGTTAGAATAATCGGATTTAAAAAAGTGTAAAATGGTCTGTATCTGTTATTTTGACTCAATTATAGATGGCAGACCGCTGACAGTAAATTATTATTATTAAACTGTTAGCTGAAAGTTCATTTCCTTTACAAATCAATAAAAACTCAAAAAAGAGAGGGGTTAACATAAACGTCGCCTTGGCCCTCTTTTGTTTACAGCAACTTAAACAAACCCCCACGGAAAAGTAGTGGAGCGGTCACGTGACCACAGCTCGGCCTTGTCCTGTTTACACCTGCCAATAATTAACTTTTAAAAATTACTGCTACTTTCGACTTTTTTGCTTTAGTCGACGCACACCTCCATATAGCGACATGTATGAGGAAGAAAGTGCGTTTGCTGGAGAAACATTTAAAGCCTCACCTGTTGGCAGGCGAACCAGCAGAAGCGCCATCAGGATCATATTTCGCATCTTGCTGCTCTGTATCCTCCTGCGGAAGCTCGACTTCTTTTACCGACTGAAAATCCACAAAAATCCGGAATGTTTGTAGGAAACCGCCTCGCACGCGCCGCTGCACATACTAACGAGACTTCAGTTAAGCTACAACGTCAGCCCGCTCGGCTGTGCGGCTCGTTTGCGATGAGAGGCGAGTAGTTACAACGTAACAACCGACAACCTTCCAGTAAAAAGGCGAATCATCCCCCCTCCCCGCTGGCCCGTTCCTCCACACTGCTCCAGGTGACATCAGTGCCCCCGCCCCCTTTGGCAGGTGCCGCAACGAGGAAAGAGAAAGAAAGAAATAGGACGATACCGAGATAAGCTTATACGTTGTATGACACTGGATATTGTAGCCCAGAGCCTCAAATCAGAAGTACTTGACTCCCTGGTATAACTCTCAAACACATAGCTTAAAGCAGATAACTCATAGACAACTGGAGAGGAAGAGCTGGAGAGGAAATGGGCAAATTTAGAGCAAATATAGAAGATCATCCTTTAGCCTTGAGAATCAGTTTGCTGCTTTATAAGAAAGAACTCCGTAAAGCTAGAACATCTTACTATTCATCATTGATTGAAGAAAATAAGAACAACAATAAGACAATAAGAACCCTAACAACCCCAGGCTGACAAAAAGTCAGAGCACTGTTGAGCCAACCCTTTAATGTTAACTAGTAAGGACCTCATGAACTTCTTCACAAATAACATTTTGACCATTAGAGATAAAATTACTCATAATCATCTCACAGATGTAATATTATCTGCAGCTACTGTCAGCACCATTGACATTTATTTAGAGTCTTTTTCTCCAAATGATCTTTCTGAGTTAATTTCAGTAATTACTTCCTCCAAACTATCAACATGTCTTTTAGACACCATTCCTACAAGACTGCTCAAAGAAGTCCTGCCATTAATTAAT